CATGAGCAGAATATATTTAAATGAAGTCCACTGGAACCAGAGGAAATCACAGTTGGGTATGAATATATTATGTGTGCAAGAAACAGAAGATCTGCTCATGCTTCACCTCAATTATTTCTAGGGGAGAGCCCTCAGGGTCCCTGGTACTCCCTCAAATATGGACTTCAAAAAAAACCCTCCGCCTGCAGTAGAGCCAAGTGAAGCTGAGTGCAGCATCTGCTGGGAATTGCAGGCACTGCTCCAGAAGAAGCATCACCATTAAGTTTTAAGAGACTTCGAAGATGTACCATGTTTGTGATCCACATTAGCTCAACATCTCACTTCTAAATAGGAATTTTTATATATATGGACAACATAGATGCATTATTTAGCTAAGGAAAAGTACAGTGTAAAGACAGCTTTCCTCCTAGGCAGTTAAAAACGTTTGTGTGTGCGGCTGACCATTCAGATCTGAAAATTTCATGCAACTTAATGGGTATTGAAACCCTTTATTCTCTCTAGCATTTGTCTGACTCTCTTCTAGCAATAAGGGAAAAAAAAAAAAAAGTTCCACGCTCTTGGTATATTCTGAAGCTGTTCAAAGGCCAAGTTTTGCTATGTAAGATCTGTTCCAAAGCCTCTGTATGTTCCAGCAGAATTTCTTCCTGCTCAGGCCCCATTTACCCATACCCGCACATCTTTGAAGGATGTTTGTCCACTTTTGGATGCTCACCCACTCTGCCCTGCAATGTGGGCAACAGGAAGGCTTTACATGAACGCAGCAGCCATTCAGAGTTCCATGTTTGTATTTTACAGAAACAAGAAGGACCCACGGGGCAGCATTTCTTGTCTTAGGCTGCTATTCTCTGAAGAAAAACTGTTTTGGTTTGGTCTCAATATAGAGGGAAAGGATCACCATAGAAGCCCACATTGTAGAAGCTGAAATAAATCTGTTGGAGTTTTATTTAGCCTAAAAAAACCCCACAACTCTGCATGGAGCTGGCATAGAACATTTCAGAGAAATAAAAGCAATCCATTAACAATAGTGGAGAAAGGCTTCACTTAACCAATTTCCCTTTGGGAGCTGAGCTCCTACTCCTTATCTCTGAAGGCACTTCAAGGTTATAAAAATGTCGGCAGCTGAAACTGAATTAGGAGATGGCAGCTGAGAGCACTGTCAGCACCTGCAGAAGCCATCTGCATCTATATGTCCTGTACATACACATGCTTTTTGTTGCTCCAGCCACTCAGAACAAGTGCAAGGTACACCCCAAGTGGCTGTTCCTCCCTTTGCAGGAAGCCAAACTGTAACTACAAGCACGCAGTGAGGATTTTCCCAGGTTCTGCAGCAGCCTTGGCTTCTTCCATCATTTCAGAGATTGACCTTCCGAAGCTCCATTTCTCTACAAGAAATGCAGAAGCCACCCAGCATAATTGTCTGTGAGGGCCAGTAAGAAGCACATCCATGCAGCTTATAGCAGTGGCACCATGTGTTTGTGCCCAGGGAACCTCCAAGGAGCTATGGTAGTGCTGATTGTGCTCTGCCTTTGACAGCCATCAACTGCTCCTATACTCCCTCAGAACAGTACCACCCAGGACCCTCCTACAGACACCTTCACAGAGATACTTTGTACACTCCTTTGACCATTAAAACCTATCAGCCATGAGATGCGTGCAGATTTGTAACTTCAATTCAGCCACACAAATACCAAAACAATAGTAATTGCTTAAGTACCTGTCACAGGTACAATCAGCCCCTGGTTATTCTTGTTGATTTCCAGGTACCACCCTCTCTATCAGCTCCTTCCCAAGCTTCTGCAGTGTATTTTATAATCCAGTGTGGAGGACCAGGTGGTTCTGGGCCTTGGGAGGCAGCACGGAAAGGACTATGTCTCTTTGACCATCTCTAGCCCAGCAGCTTCTGTGGTGATTAAGGCTGCTCTCAGAGGTTTTAGAGATGTGAACTGGTGTTCTCTTCAGGTTCCCCTTTCTCATTCTGCTATTGCAACTCATACAACTGTGTAACACTTATAAAACCTCAGAGCTGCTATAGATAGCAGGCAATATTCCACCAAGACGTGAACTTGGCAGAGGACACAGCACACAGCAGCTATCAGAACCTCATCCAGACCATAGTTGCTCCAGAGGGGTCCTATGACTTGGACACTGTTTACCTACAGCACTGTGAGAACAACCTTTTCACCAGCCCTTCTGGGCAAATGCTGGCATGACCAAGCCACCCAACACAAGAAAGGGTTTAACAGATTACTTTTAGCACAAGAATCAGTCCCTCGGTGTCATGAATAAGTAACGCTGTGGACCAGAACAGCAACTACAGATTTGTTCCTTGAAGACATGCAGCTCTCGTTCCTCTCAAGAAGGTGTTTTCTGTTTCGCAAGGATTGAAGCAGTGCTCTATGGCAACCTACAAGAGAATCTTCAAGAGAACTCGGGACATGGGTCAATGCTGCAGACATCAGTAGTTTATTGGTATGTTCAGTCAAAACACATTCAGAATGGAAACTTAAAAATACTTTCCACCTGCAACAATTAAACTAGAATCTACGAGCATATAATGCTTGACACATTACAGCAAAAAGGATGGTAATCCACTGTTGTAGAACTATGAAGCCAGAATGGTCAGCCAAGTTGGTCAAAATAGAACCGTAATGACAAAACACTCCCACTACCCACAAACCAGCAACAAACAGCAATGGTCAGCAAATCCCTTCCTTTGCTCAATGAGGTACATTTACTAAAAGAGGGTCAAGAACATGTAAGAGTCCACAGTACAGTGATGAACTGTTACCACGTAAGCTTCTCCAGATGACGTTCCAATCGTTCTCATGTCACTTACGCAAGAAGCAAGCCAGAAAATGGAATGGCTCTTAATACTCCTTTTTGTTGTCGTTGTTCAGATTATCCCCAGTGCTATTTGCCATACAAATGAAATGGGTGGCAACAAAACACCATCGCGCTACAAAATGAAAAAAAAAAAAAAAAAAAGAAAAAAAATCCCTACACAAAACACAGCATTGACAAACTGCTAACTGAAGGCAGCAATTTGTCCAAAGGCTTCGAACACAAGTAGAGCTGTGTGTTGAGCAGTTCAAGTACTACAGGTTTCCAGGTAACAGCTGAACATGTCAAAGACTTTCAACGAAAAACTGAAACAAAAAAAAAAAAAAAAGGAGACAAGAAGAAATGTGCCTCAGAAAAAAAATGTTTATGAACATAGTGCAAGACTTATCATCATGCACAGAAGACCCTGGCTCTGGGAGAAAAGAGATGCCTCTTCACTTCGCCCGATGTAGAAGTAAAATATGTGCAAAATCTCCCAGCTGATTTGAAAACAGCAAGGGAACGCATAATCCAAGGACAGACTAATGCTATGTCCTGTCTGCATTTGCTTCAGATTGCTGTTTTTTGAGGTCTTCCATGTTTAGAAGCAGCTTTAAGTGGTCACGCTGTCACACAGACTCACATCAAACACACACCCCTCTTTCACTCTGATGCATCAGAGCCTAGTGCTCGCTGCCTGCCCCAGCACCAAGCCCAAACACACTGCCTGCTGCAGCTGATGGGAATGTGCTCCAGAATGCCATCCAAAAGCAGACCTCTCAACCTGGAAAACTCACACTTGAAACTGAAGACGACGACGTCTCTTTCCTATCATTTAGTCCAGAGCCACAGTGTCAACTTCAGCTAACAGTTATGTGCAAAATGAGTTTTAAAAAAAGCACAACTGAAAAATGCAAATACTCAAGAGCTGCTGTGTTGTTTTCTGAAAATTGCAGTATCCACATTGATATGCTCACCAGTACAAGGGACACTCAGTTCTGACTGATCACGAGCTGGCCAAAAGCGTTCATCGTTCCAAACTGGCTTCTGAAATATCCCAGAGAATCTTGCTCCGTTTTCCTTAAGTTTGACATTGATTAAAGAGAAGAGACAACCTGGAGACTATTAGATGCCTTCTTCCTCCCTTCCCCCCCGCTGCAAAAGAACAGACGAACTTGTTAATTGAAGAGCAAGGTGGATGGTAATTTCAGCAATGTTTACTGATTGACAGATACTGCAATTTTTAATACATTTTTTTCCGTGATTTTTTCAGATGCGTTGCAGCCGATTGGCTTTGCAGGACAGTAGTTCATACACTACACTGTACAAAATCACCAGCAAGACTGGAATGATGTATTCATAGAAGGCACCATCATGCTTGTTACATTACCAGAGAACTCAAATACAGTCAAGACAATTTTCACCGTACAATGCTTATCGAAGGGGAAAAGGGAAGGAGGAGTGTGTTGAGCAGCCATCCCTGTATGAAGAGGGGCAGATAGAAAAATCTGACGTGAGCTATCAAACTCATTAAGTACTCAGGACTACGGTTTTGAAACTCTAGGTTCTGTTTAGTTAACGGCTAAATGGATTCCTTCTGGAATGAACTCATAGTCTTGTTAAGGTTTGTGTGTGTGCATATGTTGGTCACAGCAAGCAGGTTGGATGCCCGCACCATTTCACAAGCTATTCTGTCTGAGTAAGAGAAAGAAGGTTTTTTTTTCCTCCGATGCCTCCTGCAGATGTCAATACACGAGTTCAGAGTACCCAGTAGTGCATTTTGATGAGTGCGTAAACAAGAGTTTGTTTGGAGCCAAGTGTTCTAAAAAAAACAAAACAAAACAAAAAGGCAAGCTTCTCCGATTGCACAAATTGCACTATTTGTGTTTCCAACAGTAACAGGCAGAAACAGTAACACTTACACAAAATGTGCAGCAGAGGGCTTTGACTGTAAGGACCTGAATTTTATTGGGCATGTCCTTCAGTTCACTTTTGTTGCAGACAGTTTACTGTTTTGCTGTTTTTGTTTTTGTTTTTTTTTTAATCTTTCCAGTCCTCAATTCTCCAAGTCAACATTTATAAATTAACAGTGTGACTTCTGTTGTGAAACTGGGGAAAGAACGTCCACTTTAATTTAAACCGGAAACCAAAGGATGCTTTCACATCAAAGAAATGATCAGAAGGGCGGTGTCACATTCCAAAGCCAAAAGAAATGAACAAGAATGCAAACACGATGGATGATGTACCACTGCCAGGACCGTCTGCCCGCGGTGGAGTTCAGCGACGCTGTCCCGTGAAGCGCCCTTCCATCTGCCCACTGCCACGTCCAGAGCCGAGCTTCTGCGCCATGCCACCTCTTGGAGGGGGTCCTCGGCCGTCACGGTCGCGCATCATGCCACCACCCACTATTCCACGGGGACCCCCGGGGCCTCTATCATTGCGCCGAATATCCCTACGGTCATCACCTCCGCCTCGGGTCTCTCTCTCACGAGCAGCTCTTGTTTTTTTCTCTTCTACGTTCAAGCGCACCTCACCCCGGAACATAATGGGCTTACAGGGAAGATATTCAAGGCACACATTAGTCACCAGTTCACAACATCCATTTATACAACGAATAGAAAACACCACATTCACTGCATGCCTCTGGCTACTCTCACATGTTGGAAAGAAAAACTAACAGTTTCCTGCAACACATAACCTCAGTCCTAAATGTCACTAAAATGATCAGAGGACTGGAGCACCTCTCCTATGAAGAAAGATTGAGGGAACTGGGCTTTTTTTTTTTTTTTTTTTAGCTTGGAGAAGAGAAGGCTCCAGGAAGACCTCGTTGTGACCTTCCAATACTTGAAGGGAGCGTATAAACAAGAGGGAGAAGAACCATTTACAAGGGTGGATAGTGATAGGACAAGGGGGGATGGTTTTAAACTGAGATAGGGGAGGTTTAGGTTAGATATTAGGAGGAAGCTTTTCACACAGAGGGCAGTGACACACTGGAACAGGTTGCCCAAGGAGGTTGTGGATGCCCCACCTCTGGAGGCATCCAAAGCCAGGCTGGATGTGGCTCTGGGCAGCCTGGTCTAGCAGTTGGTGACCCTGCACATAGCAGGGGGGCTGAAACTAGGTGATCATTGTGGTCCTTTTCAACCCAGGCCATTCTATGATTCTATGAAATGGAATATTATTTTTAATTCATTGGCATGCAAAGAATTAAAATGTCTCTAAATGAGAACAGGGGTTGTCTTTGGTCTTTTAACTTCTGGCTTTTGTCTTTCCATCTCAAAACTCAAGAACCTGGTAGAGCAGTTTAGCTCCCAAATGCTAGAAAGGAGAACTGCTACGTTCTCTTCACCACTTCCTCAAGTCACACCTGCAAGTAACCATGCTTCTTTCTTGCAGCCCCAGGAACAAACTGGGACTGACAACACCACACGGGCTTCAGGGCATTCTGCCTACGCTTTGATGGATGCCAATACTTACTTTTGCAACCAAAATTCTCTGGACTGGCTCAGAATCATCAAATACCACAAATCCGAAATTGGGCAGTTTTCCTCCAACTCCTTTTGTGTTGATGCGGAGTTCAACCACATTTCCAAAGCCTGTGGAAGGAAAAAACCACATGAACAAAAACCCCAATTTACTACCTTCTGCTTCTTCTCAGCCAACACCACATACAAGTTCTTTTGCGAGGTCATACGTGAATGCTACACACCTCTCCGACACAGCACATCTGTTTTGTTCCTTAGACTGAAGTTGGTACTTACTCATGAAGAACTCTTTCAGTTCACTCTCGTCGATGTCATGCGGCAGGTTCCCAACAAACAGCTGATGGCTGTCCGGGTAGCGGATTATTCGGCGATTGTCCGACTCATTTTGCTCCACATCCCCTCTCCCTGTGTCAGGGGAAAGAAGAAAGCAGAGACACTGCAGTTAGAATTAGTGCGTAGGCTCCAACACACCCATCTGTGATTAGCACCAAGCACGTGCGCTCAAAACCTTCTGTACCTTATAAAGAAGAGGAGCTTTGTACCTATCATAATGTATTTTAAAAAAAATTGGATTTAAATCACCTCTTTATCAGTTGCTTCACATAACAACACCACCTTTATTTTGTACTCAACAGTCATGCTTCTACTCCCCTATCTTTCATCTTCCACCTTTTTATTCCAAGCAGAAGTGAGAGTTTGTAACCTCTTCACCGCAGCTGAAGCACTTTTAGCAGCAGCAAAGGCTGCTCACAGACTTACTTTGAAGAGGAGATCATAGAGTAGGATCTCTACCATTGGTTAATGGAGATTTCATCTCTGTCCCCTGCCACCCACCCAGTAAGATCACAATCAAAGGACTCAGGCTCTGGTACACACTGTCTGTATGATTTATGTTATGGTTTTGTTGTGTTTACATCCAAGAGTAGGAAAAATGTAGATGTGCAACTTGATTTAGCCACAAGTTGCATCTTCCACTCCCTGCTGCATATTACACACTGAGAGGCAAAAAAAAAAAAAGAAAAAAGGAATGTTAACTTGCAGCACATGTTATGGTTCTTGGTACCTTAAATCCTTTCAGTTCAGTATTGCTCCCATGTGAGGAAATGCCTGCATTGATCAAAGCCAAAAGCAAACAGCACTTCTAAGCCTGACCTCAATCTCACTGAACACCTCTGTCAGACCAAATGAATCAGAGCTGGTAGAGAAGCTCACAGCTGCTGAAGCTTAACCACTGCTGCATGCAGCACTTTGCAAGCTCCTGACAACTTTTTGCTAGGACTTGAAATAGTCACAAGCATCACTCTCTTCCTTGCAACTCATGACTCATATGCATGGTTCCTACCTTCGCTAGCTACTCAATCATCAATGATTATAGCCTTGGACTGAGTACTTTTTATCCACTGCTGAGCAGAGGCTACTCAGGTCAGACTGCTGAATGCAACTCAGAGCACTTTCATGTTCCAACACCATTTCTAATACCTGTCAAGTCATAGGCAACTTTGCTAGCAAAGCCACCTCATGGATTTGGGTGCTCTGTATCAGTCAGGGAATGTTGAAGTGTGGCTGCTCATAGGTGAGGACAAACACAAGGCAGCCAAACCCAGAACAGGCAGTTAAGCAGGATGGAAAAATATGTGTAGAATTATTAACTGTTTGAGGTTAACATAGGGGGAAAGTTTTCTTCTAAAACAAAGAGCACTACAGCCACTTAAGAGCTTTTACTTTCAGCATTCAACAAAAATCAAGGTAGATGGAAAAAAAAATATTTCTGGAGTACCTTTTTGGAATTGTACTGAATCACACAGAAGGTATTTCAGCATGTAAGCAAGTGGTCTGGCTATTAAAAAAGAATTCAGCAGAACAGAGGATTGAAAATAATACCTCAACTCTGTATCAGATCAATTCCCAGTTCAGACTCAGTATCATTTACCCCATTTCCAGTTGAAGACAGTAGGAGTTGGACAGTTCACGATCAGTCAAATACAGTACAGTTACAGGAAGATCCCTCAAGGAGTCACCACTTCTACCCAGCCCCACAAAGCCCCATGAGCTGACCTGGTCGAGGTCCACGGGGTGGAAATCCTGGTCGTTCCCTTGGGCGCTGCTCACGCACGCGAGGAGGTTGAGATTGAGCTTCGGGTTTTGTTTCAACTCTTGGCTGAAACAGGAGGAGAACAGCTATTATTCAGTACCGTCTATTAAAGAAAAGGCCCAGCAAAAACAAAACCAAAAAGCAACACAAGACATAGGTAAGTGGCATGCAGAAAATGAATTCTGGAAGACATACATTCAAGTAAATGCGTTTGGAAATACATTTTTTCATCTCTATAAATTCCTCTGTACCAATCCAGGACTGCAGTGGTCAATATCTCTGCTAAAAGGTTCAAAGCAAACCTCTACCCATCAGAACATCTCCCCAAAGCACATCTAACATTTACTTTCCATGTGTGACCAGACACTCAGACCACTCCGTGATTCACAAATCTCTCGACCTGACTGGAATAGATCAGATACAGCTTCCTCATGCCAAGCTCACACTTCGTGGGCTGGGAGGTATCTCAAGATGGACACTAAGAGATGGACAACCACACTGTCTGTCTGCATCTCTGAGGGACTCTCCCCAGAGTGCAGAAAAATGATTGAGGAAACTACCAAAAGAAAGAGGAGGGAAAAGAATAAAAGGAAACAAAAAGAGCACCTTCTGAAGTACAGTAAGGATTCACGATGCAATATGGCCATTGGATAGTAATTGGTTCAGACTGTCTACTGACAATGTTCTTCAACTTTCCTAATTTTGAGACCATTATGCACAAACCACACTCTTCCAATTTTCAGGAACTAGAACAAACATATCACATTTTTGCAAGCAAAAAATACTTTCAAAGACAATTTGAGAAGGAGAGACAAAACTTCCAGAAACATTTCTACGCAGACTGCTGGATACTGAAATAATGTACAGCATTTATTTTCAGTTTGTGCACAGCAGCTGCAGCTCTACTGGGGTCTTGGAGATGCAAATTCATCCTTTGGAATGTGAGGACAAGCACTGGCTTCTGAGGAAGATGATTAAAGTCAAGGACAATGGCAGTAAGGCCCTGACTGCTGCAGGAAAACAGTTTATGTCATGAATCTCCCTTCTTTTCTTTTGAAGACACAGAACATTTGCTAAGTTACCAATGTCCTTCCACTAACTCCCACATATAGCCAACCTGTACTCACTCACCAGTCCTGCATTTCACCCAGCTTCTCATCTATCACACATTTGCTCACTCCTAACTGAGCCGTGCACATCATCTGGTCTTCTATAATTGGTACCATCAGTTTTTACAGAGTTCTCTGGCATTACTTTAAGAGAAGAAGCAAGCAAATAACAATTTGCAACTCTGCACACAAAGCCACAGTATAAGGATTTCAACAGACAATCAAGATAAAGGAACCACCAACCTCAGCTTCTGGGCCTTTGAGAACAGTGAAGTAAAGATGATTCCATTATCTGCTGGAGCTCACACAGGGAGGGAAGAGACTATGGCTGTGTTTTGGACACACTACTGGCAACAATAGCTAAACCAGCCACAAGTTTTGGATCTGTGATGGAGAGGAGGAAGGGGAAGACACAGCAAGAGAAAGGCGGCTCTGGAGGCTGGAACAATGCCACTTTTAATATCTTATGAGGTTTAAAAGCTTTTCTACAGTGAGTTGCCTCTTACAACAGAAGTGCACACACACAAAGAAGCAACCAGCAAAACAAAGAAAAAACACTAAATGAGATCCAATCACACATCCATCACCTCACTTGTATCACAACAGCTGGTTTAGAAGCAAACTTCTGACTGCTGCTGCACCATCTCCAAGGTGAACACGGACAGTAGAACGCACTGAGGGCCAATCATTCAGTGCCCTAAAGGTGTTATAAATTTGGTACTATAAACATGCTAAAAGCTTGGACCATTCCAAAACATGGAAAGATAGAGCAGCTTTCAGCTCCTTCTCCTCCCTTGAATCTGGACCCTGAAAACTCACATTAGCCTCAAAAAACACAGGACTTAAAGCCCAGTTCTATTTAACACACAAACCCTGCTGCAGGAAGGTCTATCCAAAGTCTGAATGCTTTCAAGGTGATGAAGGAATATAGCCCCTAAACAGATCCTTCCTTGCTCTCATCATTTCCCAGCCACAAGAAAGAGCCAGAGAGCACCCTGCCTGCACCACTCTCCAGCACAGTCAATGAACTAATGCACACAGAGAGGCAAAACAGCTGAAAGTGCCATAAAGGCTCAGCAATGAGGAATGAAGTGGAGTGATGCTGGAGAAAGCAACAGAAGGAACAGTTCAAACTGCTCTGTGGTATCATTGATAAGATAATAACGTAAGAACAGTGACCCAAAGCTACCCACCCACTGCTGCAATCTACGTCCTTGTTTTGTGCAAAGCATCTCACATGAGAGAACGTGAGAGGATGGGGAAGTGCTACCATTGATTTGTAACTCCTTGCAGAAATCTAAAATGTCTTTCCACCATCCTTCTGTACACCGTACCTGAAAAGCATGCAAATCAATGAGCTAAGAGCAGGCCCATTCCATCTCCAGAAGAGCTGAGAAATTTCTTCAGAAACTTTCATGCAGACCTCCTTCAACATGAGGTCAGAGCTAAAGTAATAAAAAGGTGCAGAAAATGACAAATTGCAGAAGGAGCAGAAAGATGTAGGGGATGTCTGTGATTTGTACTTTAGTTTCTTGCACCTATATTTTAAAATGCTTCTTGCATTTTAATTATGAATATAAAAAACCTACCCTCTCTACTGCAGATAAGTCACTGTTACAAAAACACATCTGGTTTTGCTTAAGGAAAATCCATTCTGTATGAGAACACTGCTTTTACTACTCCAATATCAGTTGAACTCTGCTGAAGCTGATGAGACACGTTTCCCTACTACTGCACAGCCATCGCTTGTTTTCCACAACAGCCCCAGAGGAGCAGAAGCAGGACCACAGAAGTAGGGGCTTGGTTTTGTGTTTTTTGTTTTAAACGTGCACTTGGCTTGAGGGTACCCTAGAAAGATCCTTCTCCATCAGTAACAGAGAAGAACTCAGAGCTAAAACAGCAGCTGCCATAAAAAAAAACCAGCTGCTCTACTAAAATTACAGTCTTTGTAAAGCATTGGACATGAGTACCACAACACACAGTGCTTCTGGAGTATGGCACTGGTAGGAAAGATTAAAGCATGTTGTTTATTTGGAGAGTTTTGTATAAATGAAAGCAGCTCAGAGTGTCAGAGCATCTCACCAACTTGGCATGTACAGAACATAAGCTATTGCCCAATCTTTTCGAACTTTCTCTTCTCTCTCCCCTCCTCTCCACATCAGCCTGGGAATGGGAAGACAGCATTGTCCTGACCAGAACACGTGAACCCTTCCATCCCCCACACAGTCATAAGTTGGTACAGGGTTCTGAGACAAATTAAATATGTATGGAGTCCAACATACTTCTGTAGACAATACCTCTTCAAGGCAAACTTGCACCATCTCAACAAGGATGTACTCTCTTGACTGCTGGGGCACTTCTGCCAAAGAAATTCCCTTTCACACACACTTTAAGAAATAATTGCTATGGAAGTTGCTTGAGGTTTTTTTGTTTGTTTTCAAATCATATCCCAATAAGATAGGTCAAAAAAAAAAAAAAAAAGAAAAACCAGAGATTTCCTGTTTCCACATGAGCAGTTTTTAACGTTGCCATGGTTACACCCAAAGTTACACCTGTTATGTGTATATGCCTTCCACTTAAAACAAGGTGAACGCATTCACATTTAAGACAATTAATTTGTGCAATGAAATTCAAACAAATTGATCTGTTAATTGAAAAACAGAAGCAGTTTGCAGAAGTAATGAGACAATCCAAGGTGTTCACAGATGGGTTACCTGTGAGACCGGTGCTTTAACATGGGGCGGAATTCCAGAGGAGGAAACAGTACCACTAGGAGGCAGGTTTTTACTGGTCACTGAAGCCCAAGAGAAAGCCTGCAGGAAATGCAACAAACCTAGGCTACTCATCATGGAAAACCACTGACATTCCTACAGGGAAACTTGTCTGCTGAAAATATACTTTTGGTTCATAGCTGACTACTTAATGTTACAAAGATATAGCAGGATTTGCAGTTCAAGCCATTTGTAGACTCCAACAGTACAGAGCAGGGTGTGCAGCTCTCACTGCCACTAGTGAAAGAAGCTGGGCTCACTCAGCATCCCCAGCTCACTGCTTCCCTAGCACTGACAATCCTGCAGTGTTCAGTGTCTTCTGCACAAAGGAAGAGAGTGGATTGCCAGAAGTTAGAAATAAAAACAGCAAAGAGAAACAGGATTGAAAAGATACGGGAGACTGATGTCGGAGCTAGAGAACAACCTCTCTCCAGCTGTCATCCACTCCTCCCATCTCTTTCAGCTACCTCCACATTACTAGACGACGCATGGCACTTTTTAAAATTAGGTATCTTGCTTCTAAGGGAGACAATCAAAGCCTCCAGACTTTTTTTTAAACCTATACTACGGATCATTTTTCAAGTGCCAACGCATCATGTGTTGTTTTTTTGTTTTTTTTTAAAGGAAGAGCAGTGGTTCCCATTGCATGAGTTTTCCTTGGTGGTGTCTGGATTGTTTTTTTTAACATACCTTAACTACACATTTAAAAAAGTTAACACATGCACAAAACCACACACACACTTTACAGAGCATTACATCTACAATACATAACTCGAACAGCATTGAAGAATAACTTTTTTTGGTGACATTTCACAATTTTTTTTCTTAAGTATAAATCTAGACAGTTTCAGGTACTGAAGAGAGTTTGGCCACTCAAAATGACTAAGATCAGATCCAAACCTTCTGGTTTACCATCTGCACCAAAAAGCACAGATATGTATTTAACTGACCTTTGGTGGTTCTTGGGGTAGCGAAACAGGTTCTACGGGAGGTGGGGAAGGAGATTTTTCTTCCAGCTCCTCAAGAGCCTTTTCTTCTACCTCAGTCTTCAGCTCCTCAGGTTTTGTTTCCGATTCCAATTCTGGCTCAGGCTCATGAGAAGATTCTTCCAGTGCCTCCTCTATACCATTGCTACAATAGTCAAATGCATTTTATGCAGCTTTTCAATTGCTTCCTTCTTATGGCTTTTTCTTAAAGTTATACAGTGGTAATGATTGATTTTATAATGATTGGTTTTCTAGTTGTCACCATATGGTACCTTTGTATATGATATCGCATTAAGTTAAGCTGTACTCTTATAGCTGCACACTAAGCCAGATTTTATTTCTGCTAATGTCAGGACATTTTACAGTTTTCCGCAAAAAATCTGAAAATTAGATGTAGAAACTCTTGAAGGAATAGACAATGAACTCAAGAACTGTTTCTGTTCATAAGGAAACCAGACAGTCAGTTCTGGCTCTTTAAAAGCAATGCCAATGTGTTTTAAAAAGCACTTTAAAAAAAAAAAGTCTACTTTTCCAGGGCAACTTCTTAAGAACTACATCTCCCTTTCAGCTTCGAGCACCAGCTAAATTGAGGAGTAACATACGATTAACCACTCTCTCATTAAAACATCTGTTCATACGGACTATTATAACAAATCACTACTGTGAGCTTACATAATGAAGACTAAGTATGTACATAAGCACACTTACTGCCTTTTCATCTCATATTTGAAAGTAGAAGTGAAAACAATAACGGACATGAAACCTCCCCTCCTTTCTTTCTCCAGTCACGAAATCAATCTTTCAAATGTGATGTTGACACAGCTATCCATATCAGTTTAAGTGTAGTTTCCTAGACTAACTGCTAAATCACATCCAAAGCCTAAACCCAAAGCAATTCTGTTGTTTTTATTTTAGAAAGCAATGCTGTATTGAAACAGCCTTCTTACGTGACAGGATGATTCTCATAGTAGGTACTGCTTGCATTTTCTTGCACAGGTTCAGGTGATGGTTGTCTTTCCTCCTGTTCTTCCTCCACCTCCTCTTCAGACTCTGACATGAAAGAAAGAATTCCTTGAGCACCTCTGCAAGCATACACAAGCCTCACCTACAGTACAAGCACGCTGAACTAGTAGTAAAACAAAAATCACACATCATCAAAAAAATAAGGCAAAATGAGCTGAGAAGAAAGTGAAAGCCCTTTCTATTCTCTTCAAAGGCTTTGCTTCTTACTGTTTTCACAAAAATGACACCCCAGAGATATACCATTACTACTACTATTGTGAGGAGGTGTGAAGGATCTTTTAAAGCAGTAGAACACTTTCATATGTTGTCCACAGAAAATAAACATTATTAGCTCTTAATATCACAGTACCTCAAACTAACAAAGTAAACCTCAAACACAAGAAGAATCATTTGTCTAAGATGTTTTGTTCCATGCTGTTGAGATTAAATAAATCCCTGAAGTTACCCAGTACATCCCAGTTGTACTCTCCCCTTTGATTTGCTTTGGCTCAGTAGACTGGGCAAGAAAAAAGTCACCCAGAACATTAAAGTCAAGTTCAGCTCAGGGACAGAAATGAACCACTGAACATGATGATGACGATATGGGAGTGAATGACATTTCCTATTTGAAACGCCAGTTACATTTTATTTGATTGATCACAGAAATCTGGTCTCCTAAACAACACTCAGATGTAGCAAAACTACTACTTCTTCACCAAGTCTCATCCACCCCAAAAGGCAGTGCAGTCCCCAAAGAAATAAGGTTTTAATATAAGACCTCCATTTTCCAGTGTTGAAGACAGCACACAGTCCTAATATTATCACCTATGCTCTCCCTTAGCCACATACTACGCTACACGAGAATGGAACAGTTTGCATCTTTCTATGTCCTCCAAACACTCTGAAAGATAGGCAACATTAGAGGAACAAGACCAACTCTACGCCACAAGTACAGCTCTTCTCACCTTCATCAAGTTCTCCTTCAGAATCCCCAAATACTTCATCTTCATATCTGAAGATATCATTATGTACATAGAACTTGTTTGGAACAGACCCCTGTAAAAGAGCAACACACACTTTGTTGTATATATGATACATTAGAACTCAGCAATATGTATGGATTGGAGATGTAAGCTTTGAGGCACATGCCATTTGAAGTTAAACATGATCTTACATCTACTTACCTCTGGAGCAAGTACAAAGGTCTGCATGAATTTCCTCATAGGCTGCCCATTGTTAGACAGCTCCCCCATGACTTGCACCACCACCCCATCACTCAGAGTGGCATGAGCATCCACGTGGCGAATCTTAGTGTGGCACTCACTGAACTGCAGTGACATCACCTTCTTGTGTATCTCCTGGGAACAGACAGTTATATTTTAGCTACACTGAGTTTTATACGCAGCTTCACGCCTAAGTCTCAACAAATAGAAGAAGTCCCCCACTGAAGCTCAAAAGGAAAAAGCAGGAACCCAGGAACATCTTTCACTGAGAAAAGTCTACCTGAGCTCCAAGAATTGTTATTATGAAGTTTTTCATCATGATTCAAATACCATTCAAAACAGTCAAAAAGGTTACCCTTCCTAAATATATTTTCTGCAACTGGATGCAAAGCTGATATATCAAACACAACCCACAGTAACAGCAGCAGCAATCATGACAAAAGCCATGAAAGATTTATATAGGTGTCTGAACAGGAGGTACTATAGCAATGCGCTATTTCCCAGATAGGAGAGTCAAACAAATTGTTTAAGAATTCAAAACTACATTAAGTTCTGAACATTAGTAAGGACTTCAGGCCCAACGTTGATACATACAGCTTGGCCATACACTGCTTCTTGTGGCTTCCCACTAGCATCCAGTCCTCCATGGACATAAGAAGAATTCCTGCCATAAAACCTGCAAATGAAAAGATAGTAAAGATAATATCAATGAAAAAAAAAAAAAAAGAGAAAAAAAACAAGAGCCAAACCCAACAATATTTTAGCCACCAGTTATAGATATCAAGGTATTTGGAATTTCAGCACAAACAATTCAGGATCGATTCTAAGATTCCAAGAATACAGAAGGAAACATGGTTAACATTCAGCAGTCTGATTTGCCCACTATAACTGGGTTGGCTACTTGGTCTTGGGGTTCCCTGAACATTAAAACATCTGCCTGTGGTAAAGCCAGTCTATCCTCTACAATTCTTACAGTTAGATAGCAAATGTTATATTATTTGCACTTATTGCACAATAATCTACAATAACTGAAGCACCACTTCTTGCCACCTCCACTGTTTAACTTTCAGCACAAAGCTCACATTTTGTATTTATGACACCCAGCTAGCAGCAGTGGCTTTTTCATCTTGCACAGAGCACATGTCTACTGAGCTCTTAAACCAATAAAAAATGAAAATGAAAACCATTTCTTGACCCAATTTTGGATTTGTTTTCAAAACCACTTCCCCCCTACCCTATGCATCACACACTTGCTTTCAATATTTTTCTTACATTTCAGGGATATTTTTGCACCCTCTTTCCACTTCCAAGTGGAGTCTTGAAATGCCCAAGTCACATTTTGTATTTTTACTACCAGCCTATAAAGCATGTGACAAATGCTTAATACTCTGTAAGTTTACATTAATAGCTGAGAAGGCAACAACATAATGTTGCACTTCATTTCAAATCAAGCTTTGCCTCAGGAATGACCGCGTTGGGTCTTAATTCCAATAGTTCACCACTTCCAAAGGATTCTGCTAATGTCCACCCCTTGATGGTGTTTAACATATGAAATAACATTTCCTTTTGGTATTTCCATGAACTATTTATCACACAGATAGCAAGGATACAAAATGTTTGTCTCCTGATAAACAAGCAGTGCACAGCATCAGCATTAAGATGCGGAATCAAATGTGAGAACATGCGCATTTGCCATTTCTTGTTTTATCCCACAAGAAACTCCTTCCAGTTCCAATTTCCTACATACCAGGCCAAGATTATAACTGTCCTTCGTTTCTAACAAGAAATTAGAACATAAACTATTTTCTTCGGTACCAGCTGCATAATGGTGGCTTTGAGCATGCTCTAGGACTTTCTAACATAAATAAAAATCAAGGTTCAGTTGAAGCAGCATGCAGGCAGGTGGGAAACCACCCTTTAACTCTCTGCGGGTCAGTGTATCCCATCAAGTACTTCCACAGGGGGACCAGTAATTCTAGTTTGCTTTTAAGGAACTGTTCAAACTCTCCATCAGGCAGAAAATATAACAAATGGGAACTGCAGATCAGGAAAGGAGGGTTTACTGAGTCCCCAGATACATGGAAATATGCACTGTAAAATAAGGGGCAGTAATGCTATATAAATGACACCAAGCAGGACCCATTTTGAAGGCAAACTCCTAAAATCTCTGCATGTCCCTCGATAAGCTTTGGAAAACAAATGGTGACAGACACTTGGTGCATTTCCCTTGAAGGATAAATCAAGAGCATTAACACTTGCTGCCAAAATCTCTTGCTCACTGCAAAAATTAATCCTTTTCTTTCACCGTCAGGTTCTGGGAAGCCAAGAATTCAAAATGTTTCTATGGCAATGTGCAAGTTGTTGCTTGAAGTCACAGCAGGAAGAAGATCAGAGAGAAGGTGCCCTCTCAGAAGAGCATCACACACACACAAGGTGTGGCCAATGAACACAAAGGCAAATGCCCTCAACGTGTTGAGTGTCTCTACAGACACTCTTTTGCCTCATGTGCAGCCTGCTATAATTTTACGCCATCCTAAACTGGAAGCATCACCCCACATCCAAAATGCACCAGGGAATGCCAACTCTATGATGCTCATGTAGCCAATGTTAATATCAATGCAATGGAATTAACACTGCATTAAAGGGGAAGCAGGGGCAAGGCAAACATGAAATAGTTGCTTGGTCTTTGGCTGAAGCAGACAGAGAGGAAAAACATACCAGCAGTATTTTGCTTTCTAAATCAAAACACATGTTCTCCTCCTCCAAGTCCTGCCAAGGTTACAATTGCTATCATTACAGGTAAATGCTCTTGCAAACAAAACAGACTGCTTTCAATAGTGAATTTGAGGTATGGGTGATTTATCCCTATATTCAACTGTCACTGAAATAAAAATGTTACAGAAAGAAAAGGGCAATCTCCCAGCACAAGTAATAGAATTCCCCTTATACCTTTCATACTAAGCTGTAAAGCACTGCATAAACACCTCATAAGCTTTTTCTGTCTCTCTATGCAAATACTTTTTGGATTTAAAGTGAAATGACAGCATACTTCACAATAAACTTGCCTTATCAACTTGGGCTTTTCTATCCTTCAGCAATTACCTGATTGCTCAGGAGTTCCATTGCATCCTTTGCTCAGGTATAATTGGTGTTGTCACACCCTAAGTCTCTTAGAAGAATTTCAACTTCCCAGTCTTCACAGGCAATGGATGTTTAGACATATGGACAAGATACTAACTACTGACAGAGCAGGTAACAAATCTATCTGAGAGCTGCCTCTGAAGCCAACTAGAAGACACAAGCCCTTTCCCAGGCCATTTGGGGAGATGCCCCAGAAATGACACTTACGTGAGGAACACAACTCTTGGATAAGAGAAAACTGCAAGTTTATACACAGGTACCAGTGTATTACATGGATATATTTATTAGTTGCTTGTTGGACCTAACTCTTCTGTTCAAGTGTTGGGGCAAGGAACAAATCTGCGATTTTTGAAAATGCTGCTTGTGTCTCCAGCTGGACTACAAAGCCTAGTGCCTGGAAACATGCTGCTCAGCAACCTTACACCTTAAGATGTACATTTAAACTCAGAAAAGAAAAACAAACATTGTTCCACAGCAGCTCAGTGATTTAAGCAAAAATGATACCATCCATTTTTCCTATCTCACAGCTTCAGATGAAAAGAGACATTATTCACAAGGCTGAAGTCCTCAGCTTCCCATCAAGGAGCTCTAACTTCTTCAACAATTCCATTTCTCCACAATCAACCTGATGTCAAGTTCTGAGAGAAGAGAGATCCAAGCAGCAATGGCTCTAAAAACAGCAGCAACAAGAAACACTGGCAAAGCTAACTTCACCTTTATCAGAAGTCTGTGTTGTTCTGAATCCAAATGTGGAAATACAATATCTTAAGTGACAAACTGTACATAGGCAATCAGAACCATAAAAAAAGGAACACATCCAGAGCAGCAGTGAAACAGCGGGCACAGGTAAATAAAACCTGTGTATGTGTCAATGCCTTGTCCAGGCCCTGACTTCTATACTTAGATCTCCAGCCATGACCTAGACAAAAACTTCTCAAGAGATAATACAAAATTCAGTATAGTGAAACAGTCAGCATGCTTGTCTCAGGTGCAGCACACAGGTGCTTCATCCACAACTTTCCTTCCTTTTCTATTTTTTTTTTTTTTTAATATATAGAACATTGTTTCTCTGATGCTTCAACATTACCATCCTAGCAGCTGAGAAACAGCTCACTTTTCCATCCAGGAAATATCTTAAGAACAGCCAGACATCCTTATAAATATATCTGGTTCTGGAATCTAAAGGCTTTTTCTGTAACATGTTTTCCAAGAACCCAATAGCTAATCAGGTCAATTTCCTGCCACACTCAGAAACTAATGAGTATCTGATTTTTGATAAAGAGCACATGTTTCTGTTCAAAACCATCGGTTACTGTTGCGTCAGTGTTACCTGTGCAGGAAGTCAGGAGCTTTATTGAGCAGAGTGTAGTACTGTCTGACGAACTCCCGCCCTACAAGCAGGGGACTGGGCTTCTCCATCACCATTTCTTTGGTACACAGGGTCGAATGCTGCAATTAAAAATATTCCTGTTAGTTTGAAGACAACCCTATATATCACAATGTCCTAATAAAAGGATGAGTATAGTAATATTAGAAGTGAAACAATTATGTGAACAGGAACTTGAATTCAAGATCCATCCCCACCGTTCCTTGGAGTAAATACAAAGATTTCTGTCTGTTAACATCCCATTCTGACTGAAAAGAAATAGGGAAAACAAATGAACTTTTGCTCAGTTGCTTGTAAATGGGGCTCTTCCTACCCTGCCCTAAGATAAAAGAGATCATGGGGAGTGTCTAGCACTATTTATTTGACTTTTGGCAATTAAACTGACAAATAATTAAAAGTTTGGAATAGATCCTAATGGGGTTTGGGAGAATTGGGGAAAAAAAACAAACAAACCAACAGTGAAGTAGAATGGGTTGAGATAAAGACTATTTAGAAAAGGAAAAAAGAAATAGCAGTAATGATAATTTTATATAAGCAAAACAAGCAATGCACTGGCAATTGCTCAGCACCTGCCAACCAAAGCACAGCCAGTCTCCAAGCAGTGGGGAGTTGATCAGGGGGTGCTGCCACTGTCCTCAAGCATTTTCTGCAATACATCATGCAGCACGGAATATCCCTTTGGCCATTCTGGGTCAGTTCTAATTCTGACCCCTCCCAGCTCCTTGTGCCTCCCAGTTACCTCACTGGACAGGACAGTACAAGTAGCCAAAACGTCCTTGGCTCTGTGCAGCACTGCTCTGCAATGACCAAAACATCACTGTATTATCAACTCTGTTTTTCCCCTAAAGCCACAACAGAGCATCTTACCAGATACTATGAAGAAAATCATCTCTGTCCCAGTTGAAACTAGGACCCACATGAATAGACCTTCTACCTGCAATTTCTGCAAACTGGCTCCTATTTTCACATGGTCTACCTGGAAGCATGATCTCATCATGGTATGCAGTAACAATGCATCTCCCACCCCAGTCCTCTGTTCTCCAGACTTCAGAGTCCAGCACTCTCAGTCCTCTCTCTCAAGATATTCCAGTCTCCAACAACCTAAAATAAGATTTCTGTTTTCTTATGAAAATAACCTCAGCAATCAAAACTACGGGCCATATAAAGGGTTGTTCCCATCACAGCTTTCCAAAGACAGAAAACACACAAGGAGAAATTTAGAAATTAACTTCAGCTCAAAAGAGTCTGTAATTAAAGTTGAATTTCATACAGGAGTATCACAAACACATTAGATCTGGCATCAACAGGACCTGATGAAAACAAAACACCCAAGTACTTTTGCTCATGTTCTATTAAAATAACCTCAACCAAGTCACAAACAGTACTTCAAACTATTATCAAACACCATGAGTCAGAACTGCGCTCAAAGCAATGGTGTCAAGAACTCACAGCCAGCAGGCAAGGTCTTGAACACAACTTCTGAATCTGGAGATAAGAAATTAGAAAACATATATAGGCTTATCTAGAATTTTGAAGACAACACTCCAAGACTTGAGAACACTGAATTAACTGGGACTTGTGGCAACTCCCAAATGATGTCAATTTTTAGGTATAATTACCAAAATTATTTCCAAGAATATAACAGAACACCACAGGCTTGAGCCATTGAGCCATGCCCACGCTCAAAGTAGCATCTGCTGAGAAAGTCAATGTGAGCCATGGGAGGATCTTCCTGACCTGACTCAGACTACAGCAATGGTGTGCACATGCAAATGGTACTTAGAAGTCAACCTTAAAAAAGTAAATAAAAATTAAGGAAACAGGTGACACAAACCTTCTCTGCTGTCCTGTGCCCAAGAAGGTGAGAACACAGTGCCATGATCACCACAAGCACTTGAGAGAAAACACAGGGACAGAACTTCCTAATTTCTTTTCTTTTTTCTTTTTTCTTTTTAATCAGAACCTATTAAAGAGCCAATCACAGCCAGCACGCATCCCTGTGAGTATAGCATTAAGCACAGTACACATGTTAACAAATTGCTGCATACCGCATGGAGCACTGAAAACGCCTCCGGGTACAAAACACAATAACCTATGAGGGAGTTATTACCCCACACCAGATCCTATTGCACACAAGTTTTTCCTCATTGGAAGCTGTGCTATTTCAGGAAAGGCCACTGAAACCTTTCAGAAAACCCAAGAAAGACAAGTGCACAATAATCACACACAGCTAACTCTTCCTGTACAACACAGAGAAATGGGTTCATGTTCTGCTGAGAGAGATGTGTACAGTCCACCTCTGCCCATGTTTCAAGTGAAAGGACCACTGCCTCACAGAATACCACTGTTTAACAGGATGTATCTGTATAACTCTTCACCTGTTCCAGCATCATTCTCTGCACCATCTCTTCAAATATTCTTACAGAGTTAGAAGAGGCTTAATGAACCTCTAAGTCATTAGAAGGCAACTAAATAAAAAGGCTTGTTATCAATCAGCATGGGTCCTGTGAACTCAGGTTTACTGAAGATTTACACTTCGGTTGTCCCAGGTAGTGCTGCACCTCCTCAAGGCCCAGGACCCAAGCCCCAGCAGGCCTGGCGATTTGGGAGCTGAATGTACCTGGGATATTTAAGCCAAAACATAAACTGCCTGAGTGCCAACAAAGGTGATTGCTGATCTGCACCAATGTGAACAGTCAGGACTGAAACCAGCGGTTATCTCTATGTTCTGCCAGGCACTAACAGAAGCCCCATACATAAACATACTCTAAAGGAGCTTTTTTTCCAATTTTCAGATACATACTTGCAAGACAAAGAGTAACAATCTGAGCAATTTCTCACTGGAATAAAAGGAATTAGGTTTTTTTTTAGATAAGCCTCCACAGTCTTTAGGAAAACATCTTCGTAAGCACTCATCACTAGAGATTCTGGAGTCTATACTGACCAGAAACAAAACACTGGCACAGAGATAGCCAACAGTAGAAATAACATTTTCTGTTGGTTTCATTACAGCAACTATTGTGCTACAGAAGCCCCTTCTGCCAGACACCTGACAAAAACCACACAGCTGAAGCAGCACAACCACCCCCAGGTAACTGCCTGCAGGCAAGCTGCCCCAGCAGCTAACCAAGTAGACCCAACTTGCTGCATTTGTGCAGGACTGCCATTTCCTGTGCTAGCAGCAAGGCATGCTGAATTCACAGCGCATTCCTGTGCCGAAGAAAACCACACCCACACTAACAGACCTTGTATCAGACTGCAGGATGAGGACCCAAGGAAACAAAAGATATTTTCTTCTGAAAAGCAACACCAACTACAAATGAAGGACAACACTGAAATAAGTATTATCTTTGTGACAGCAGCAAAGCTACATCTGGTAACATTCCTCTACAGGGTCATTGCAGACTTCTCTCAGCTCTGCAAAAAACGCCCTTTGATGACACTGTTAAGAGACAAAACAATGAGACATAGCTGAGTTAGGACAACTGTGCTCAAGTGCTTGGCTATCAACTGTAGCAATAATTACTCAAGAGAATTAATAATGGCATGCATTCAGCCTATAATAATCTTTATGCACAAAACTTCCATTTATTAAACTGTGTTTGTCAATTCTTCATGTAGAAAGGGAAAAATAATTAAAAAAAAACCCTACCAATCCATCAGTTTGCAAAGAAAGGCAGCAGCAATTTGCTTCTAAAGAAGTACAGAGGGGCACAAAGTGCAGAGCAGTCACAACATCCACCAACACAGATCTTACCTATCAGATCTTCCACATTACAGAAACTTTTGTTTTTCTTCAAAACAAAGTTTCTGATACAATTTTCCTTAGCACGTAGAAGCAGCAGTGTGATCAGTCACATGTGACAAGGCACTGGGGTAGGTTATGGAGGTGACGTGCCAAGGACAGGCAGGCTCCACCTTATTTAAAAATATATATAAGCAAATTAATGCTTTTGATGTATTGACAGGCAAGTTTCATCCTCCATACTCTGACTGCAATTCTTCCATGACTAAAGGTACATTGGCTAAGAAGCTACAGCTTCACAAATATCTGCAGCAGCATGGTTTGTTCTTGCATTCAGATGTCTGCAGCTTGTGCCAAAATTGATTACCAGGATGGAATATACTATTTAAATTGAAAATAACATTTGGCAAAACAATCTTGAAAAATCAGAAGATGTTATCCATGCAGTGAGCACACAGAGTGAAGTCCCAGCAGATATCACGCTGCTTCCCATCTAGCAGCAGTGGAGGAAAAAAAAAGGAGAAAGTGGTTTTCTCCATGTTGGACAGGTTTCTCCTAAACACAGACCATCATGAGAGGTAAAACTGGGGCTTCCAGAAGGCCAAGAACCAAACACACTTATGAACTGCTTTTCCTAACACAGACAACCAAATAATGCCTTAAAGAACATGCTTGCAGTTGTGATCTATATGAGATCCCACTGCTGCAATACAGTGCGTGAGCAGCCACACCTTGAATAAAGCAAAAACTTTGCTGCAATGGTCAGTCCAGCTGGCACAAGCTGTAACACAGCCCTGCAACGCTGGGAATATTGCAGGCAAAAGCAGAATAAGCACTGACCAAACTGAAACAATATCAAGAGCACAACTGAAAGTCCCTGACAGCCCTGTTCATTCCTAAAAGCACCTTCTCCCTTCCTTGCCCTGCCAGGTAAGCGTTCATATCATCCTCCATCTGCAAGTAAGAGCCAGTGTACCTCAATAATATCTCAGAGAATTACTGTGCTTTATGATCTTCTTTATCAAATCCAATAGGATCTGAATTGGCTGAGCCCCAGGGCAAGACATGTGGCTCTTTCCAATCAAGCTGTTCTGTGGTGGGTTTTGTTTTATGCTGCTTTTTTTCATTTTTTTTCTTTTTTTTTTTTTCTGAGGAGCTTAATGGCACTGTGTATTTTAGGCATAAGACTACTAATAGGGACCATCAAAAAGAGCCAACATTCGCCTGAATAAAAGCAACAATAGCACCTGCAGTCACTGCCACCTCCTCCCAGGAAGCCCATTCAGCTCCCTCTCCCTGGATGCTACCATTCAGCAACAGTTACTGTGCCTTCCTCCTGTCACTAAATATACCCACCAGCCTGACACACTGCTCTTCTCATATACTCCTGAGTTGCAAAGAAGGTCTTCATTTGTCATATGGTCTCAAAAAAAAAAAAGACATCCAGTATCACAATTGCTACATGGAGAAGGAAGAATCAAATTCAACACTGCATGTTAAGACGCTACGTTTGGTCAGTATATGTTCAGCACCCAACTATACTCTCTCAGCCCGACTGTAGATGTATAATTTGAAACTTCAGTTTTATGCAGAACAACATCAAATCCATAAAGACAGTAGTAGATCAGTACATTGGATGGTTGGCTCCCTGTGCTCTCTCTCCAGTTTAAGCTGTGCTAATGCAGAAGAGATTTTATTCTGCTAATGAAAAATTCATACAATACAGATCATAGTTCCCTACAGTGAGCCAAAATCTGCCAATTGAAATATTACAAGAACATTTCCAATGGTAAAAAGGATTAAACCCAAGCTACCAGAACCCTGAACAAGTCTGGAAGTAGGATAGTGTTCCCTTAGGAATTAGAAAGCTTTCCCGAGACAGGTATGACCCTACAGGCATATATGTATGGTCACAATGAACACAGAACACCTTTTTAACAATTAATTAACTCCAGCAGTTAAAGCAAGACCAGTTTGGCAGTAACAACATCTTCTGAGCTAGGAATGTAAGGTTAAGAACGTGGTACCTGCTCATCACAGCATAACACAGATCTTCTGCCAGGGGCTTGCTATGCTAACACAGCTCTCCTGAAAGGGACGTGCATGTCCATAGGAGGGCTCACTCCATGACTGCATTGCATTATGCCACACAGCACTGAGCAGGGCAGCATGGCTACGCTGCAGAGAAACCGCTGCCACTGAACTGCAGAGTGACCTTATTCTGCTCCTGCTTACAAATTTACAGCATACAGAAGGGAAAGAGAAAGACCCTGAGACAGCTGAAAGCACTTTATATGAACAAGAAAAGCATACTAAGAGTTCTCTCTGCCTTTACATCTCTCTACCACTGCAGGTTAGAGAGCAGGACACTGTCTTTAAGCATGTAGTTTGCACATCCAGAGCCTGCTGAGCTAAGAAAAAAGTACTGCACCCTGTGCCTTTGCAGACCAGAACCACTTCAGGCATCTTCACGCTTCACTCTGTAACAAAGCAGAACACTGGCACACTGAATTGTATCTATAGAAGACTCAAAGATTGCAAAAAACCATACAACAATCATAAAAGCTACAAAATGAAGTAATGTTTTCTGGGTGAAATGAAGCCATGGCCGCATCTTCCCCCCCCTTTTCCCCCCCACTGCACTGGCTCTTCCGGTGCCTGGCGCAGAGCTCAGCGCCCAGAGGCACCCCACCACCGTAGCAACGCAAAATCCCCGTAGTGGGGATGCTGCTGCGCACCCACGGCGCTGCGTGATGCAGCCCTCCGAGGTGAAGGGCAGCAAAACCTGAGAACACCCTGCGCTCTGCTTAGGAACAAAACGAGAGTCTCGCAGAAACCCGCTCGGGGCGTAGGGATCTTCCCCTGGAGGCTGCCCATAAGGCTGCAGAAGAGAGAGGGACCCCCCAGCCGCCAGAAGGAGCAAAAGCCCCAACCCCGCCGCACGGCCAAGGCCCGAAGGCGTTGCAGCGCGAAGGACGGAGCGGACCCCGAGGCGCTACGGACCCCGCGCTCCCCTCATCCCCTCCTGCCACAGCGCTCACCCGGGGAAAGAGACTTCGGCGTGCGCGGGGCCGCGGCGCTCCCCCCGGGGCCTGCTCGGGGCCGGCAGCGGTGTCACAGGGCGGAGGGAGGGGCCGTGCGAGGTGACGTCCGCGGGGCGCGAGTCGACTCTGTGCTTCCGGCGGAAGTCTTGGCACTGAGCTCACTGACGGTACGGGGTGGTGCTGTACTTCCGGCGGAAGTTCCTTCGGCTGAGAGGGGTCAGTGTCTGGCTGTGCTTCCGGCGGAAGTGCCCTTACAGTGGGTCAGCGCTGACGCGAATAGGGTCGGTGCTCCGTGAGGGAGGGTTACGTTTTTATCTTACGTTAGAGTAACGCTTGTTTACTATCATCTATTTTGTAACAAGCAAGTGGAAAATAAAACCTGACTGAAAAGGCAGAGTTTCGTGAGAGACTTTAACCTCGCTTTCTCTCTGCAGTCGCTGGGGGGGAGGAAACCTCCCCCTTCCACAGAGCACCATGACCCACCGAGCCTGCTGGGAATTGCAGCACTATGAGGAACCCACGTTGCTGTTGCTGTAAATGTGCGACCCCGGCCACACGGATGGCGCACCCACAGCCCACGGGTGTCGGCGCAAGGGGGGAGGGGCGTGGCTCACGCTAAGTCCCGCCGCCATTGTGGTCACGCCCCCGCCGGAGGCCACGTCGGCGCCACGTCGCGACGCACGCGCAGTGGCCGCTTCCGGCGCGGGGGTGGCGGTGGGGCCGGGAGCGGTAGAGCGGGACCGGCGGTGTGCGGAGCCGGTGGGCGCGCAGCGGAACTGTCATGAACTTCCTGCGGGGTGTCATGGGGGGGCCCAGCGCCGGGCCGCAGCCCTCTGGCGCCGATACGGTGAGGGATACGGGAAGCGGGCGGGGACAGGGACCGGGCCTGGCGGGGCCGCGCTGTGACCTACGCACGGTGCTTTCCAGATCCAGAAGCTTTGCGACCGGGTGGCCTCTTCCACGCTGTTAGATGACCGCCGGGACGCCGTACGCGCCCTGAAGGCGCTGTCAAAGGTGAGCACCGGGGATCTCAAGGCGTTCCTGGAGTTCCTTGGGGCCTTCCTGAGAGGGTTTCTGGGTTTCTTTGGAGGAGCTCCTGGGGAGGTACCTGGGGCTCTTGGCAGACTCCTGGGGGATGTTTCCTAAGGGAAACCTGCTCCTATTTATGGATGTGGTTGGATGTGCTGCTGATAGCATTGTTTGGGTGTGGGGCTGCTTGTTGCTAACTCCATGTTTTCGCCCCGCAGAAATACCGGCTGGAGGTGGGCATCCAAGCCATGGAGCACCTGGTACACGTCCTGCAGACAGACCGGTAAGTAATGCTGCTACGGACAGGGCTCCCATTGGGTGCCTTCCTTCTGCTAATATAGATAAATCCAGATCTCTCCCTGCATGGTTACACAGCAAGGGAACTGGGCTTCTGGAGGCTTTGTGGTGACTGACTGCTTGTGGTGAACAAGTGTGATGAGAGTGTACTTGGACAGAATGAAAGGGGTGTGATTGTTAGGGACGGGAGGAGCAGTTCTGGGTCAAACAGCAGCAAACTGCATCTCTGTGTTTCATAAGTGGTTATCTTTCTCTATAAAAGGGATAAGTGAAGGGTAAAACTAAAGTTACAGTGTTAATTAAAGGATTTCAAACTGCCCAAACCAACCAGTTCTTGGACAAATGGTAGAATTTAAGAGTGAATAACAATGTCAGCAGATGTGTTTTTTCCTCAGATACATGTTATTGAATGATTCTTGAAGAAGGAATGTTATCTGGAAAGGTTCAAATAAGAGATTTGTGCCCCCTTCACATAGAAGGGACTGCTGCTAATCTCTGCCTAATACGCTAATATATATTTTTAGTGTAAATATATGAGAAGTAGACTAGAATATAGCTTTGCGGAAGAGAATATGCTGTACAGAACTTAATTTCTTTTACTGTCCATCTCTGAGTTGTGTGCACTGCTGTATGTGACAGCATCCGTGTGGTGTAACTTCAGAGCTCTCTGTGCTACTCTGACTGGGGCCTCAACTGTTGAATACTTAGGGTGTTCAGCTGTCTGTACTGTGACACTGTCAATCTGAACTTGAGCATTAAGCTTTTTTTCATTTATTTGTTTTTAAAATGTCATAAAGGCGTGTGTGGGATACTTGCATGCATATGCATGAAAAGCAGGAGTGGTACAACAAACAGAAATTAGGGAAGCAGTGATTTTGTATCTGGAAGTAATCCTCAAGGACCTACATAATACAGCGGCATCCTGCTCTGCTTAAGTCTTCAGAAGTAGAAACTCTCCAGTGCTCTCTGAGGGCTGCTGGCAGCCAGGCTCACCTGGCAGGTTCCACCGGCTGGAAAGGAGCTATGGGCTGGTGTAAGAATGGTGCCATGCTATTGCTATTTCCTTGGCTGTCTATTGCTCATGCCTTCAGCTTTAACTCCACAGCTCGTAGGATCAGATCAATATACCAGCGGAGATCACGAGAACAGCAGTCCCATGGAGGAAAAGCCCTTCAGAAAATGAGGCCAAGGAGTTGCCTTCATCCCCTGAGCAGGCTGGATCTGAGCTGTGAGGGGAAGTCAGTGTGCTGCTGAGCTCCTTGCTGTGGAGATGTTGGACAGAACCCTGCTGAGTACAGATGTGGAGATTGTCTGGACTTTGTTGGGCTCCAGTTGCTCCTCCAGGATCAGTGCTTGTTAGATTTCTGCTGGGATGTATTGTGTGACTCAGACAGCAGTTTAAAAAGTAGTGAATATGTCTTCATTTTGGGGGTTTTTTAGATGGGAAAGAAAATGCTGGTTTCCACAGAACTTTGATTGAATGTGTAATAGGAATGCAGCAGGGCCCTGGGGTGTGTGCAGGGTAGAGCTGATCAGCAGAGTGCTGCAATGTGAGAACAGTGACAGGTGTCCCTGTGCTTTCCTATCGGATGTTTACAAAGAATGAATGGAATGGTTCAAGATGCAGAACTGCTCTATTGCCAGCAGTGTTTGTTTTGCTGGCATATATCATAGCAATGTGAAAAATAGAAACAAATTTGCTGCTAATTATTTTCTAATGCAGATGAGCTGATTAAAAGTGCTATCTAATCACAAAGTCGTTTGTATTACAGACCGCCTCAGCCAACTGTGACAGCACAGTAGCTCGCTGCTATTTATGTGGATCTGAAGTGAAAAAAGAGCCGTTTTTAATCTTTGGTGCACCTCTTATTTGTGCTTGCTCAGTTGCTCCTTCCCTTGAAAGATGAAGTGGGGACTACATCAGTTCTCTGTAGTTTCTCTTTCATTTGCAGCTGTTGGCAGTTTCCATTGTTTCACAGCCTTTATCCTGGAGTAAATACTGCACCGCTTTCGTTTTTTAATGGATGACTTGTTCTACTTGTTACATAGTTCCCTTGTAGAGCGCCTTAAGCTCTGTCTCCTGCTTGGGCTGAGATCTGAGTATTTAAAGCCATTCTGTAGAAAACAGACTTCTTGGGCTGGTTCTTCAGCTTTGTGCATTGGCCATGTGGGAGCCTGGTAACACTCGAGGCAGCTTTAAATGTTCCAGGCTCCTACACAAATGAGAGTTCTTTTTGCAGTTTGAGGTGGGAGCTGTGGTTGGCTGGAGAACGTTCTCCTGGTTGCCTGTCTGGGCATTGCCACTTCCCACCAGGAACTGTTAAGAAAGAAGTTTGGCACTGACTGTTGAGCAGAGCAGCTCCACTTAACTGCTGGTGTATAAGAGGGCAGCAGAGCACAGAATTAACTTGGCGTTTTACTCTTTTTGTTCTATTTATACAAAATCTTATCTTTTTAAAATTCACCATGATAATTCTAACTGGTAGAAACCCAATATGGACTGGAAAGTATTCTCTATTTGCATAGGGTACGAACCTCAGTTATTTATGTGCATTAATTCCCTAACATTCAGAGTTGTTATATACATTTTATTAAAGCTGTTTTGAGAAGGAATGTGTTTGTTGTTAGTCCTTTCCAGGCACATTGTCATCAGTGACATGATAGAAACAGTCTCCTTCCTCCTACTCTATGAGATAGGGTGGAAATTCATGGAATGAAATGCCTTTGTTTTAGAAGAGGAAGTAAAAGCTTTTGGAGGTACTCTCCATTGGTGGCACAGCACGTGGACACCTGCACTGCCATATGGTTCTTTGCTTTTGTTTGTGAATTCAGGGGGAACTGAGCTGACATTGTAGTCAAGTGCCATGGAGGAGCCCCAGGAATAGAGGGAAAGTGCTCCAGTGGCTCATTCTGGATTGGTGCTTTGCAGAAAGGCAGTGTCTTCTGTGGATGCTTGAGACAATGAAGGTCAAGTTATTGACTGAAGATTTTCACTGCAGTGCAAAAACTGCACAGTTTCAGTCTGAGCAGAACAATCAAGGGAACAGTGGTATGTAATGAACAGCAGATAGAAGCAAGGCAGTGAATAGCAAAGATATGATGCTACTATCCTGGCTTTGTTCTTCCAGCAAGAAAAATGAGGCCAACTTCTTCCATATCTATACGATATTTGATTATTCTTATGTAGTTGCTGAGTTCTCTCATGTGAGTGAAAAGGAAAGCAAAAGCAAGGCTGAGACTGCTTTTTACTTCCCCGTGAATCTCCAGGAAGTCATTTCCATGTTTTTTGTAGATGTGGAATTGTTTCAGTCACATGAAAAAGAAACCATGGGCTTTGTAGTACTGTGTTCAACTGAAATGGCAGTAAAGGTAAAAGAGGAAACAAGCAGCCAGGCAATGGAAGTGTACCTGCTGGTTGAGGCTGCTTACACAGACCAGACCTTCCTGTATGTATATATACATATATATATGCCCTGACTCACATCTTGGTAGACGAGATGCTCCTGTTTCTCTTTTTGTTTCCACTACAACCCAGCTTAAATACTGGTAGTGTGAGTTGCATGACACTGATGACAAGCCAGAATTACACACGTCACCTGAAGACGGCAGCAGGGAAAGGTTTCCAGTCACAACCTAATGTCATGGGACAAACAGGGCTGAGAGCTGATGGTTCCTAGCTTTTGGTTTAGTGTGAGTGTCATGTCAAGGGAGGTGATTTGTCTGTTTGAGAGCCCACTAAAGCCCTTGCTGTAGTGATGTAAGAAGTGTAGTTATGGATTGCTCCATTT